GAGTTTCTTTCTTTCTTTCTTTCTCACATTTAAATCAATGTTTTGGATTGTCTCCCAAGGGGAATTTGACTACATTGTTTATTTATTTATTTATTTACTCATTTATCTTTTAGGAAAAAAATAAATAGCTTTGGCTTTTAGGGGAAGAATAATCCCTTGATTTATGACCTGGATTAAGAGATATCTTGTAAGCAATATGTGTTGCATAAAGTCATAAGGGAGAAAAAAAGAAGTGTGAATACTTGCAAATATATATTAACAATGCTTTTCAAAGCATTGAATATTTTGATTTTTGCAGGCTTCAGTGTCCAATGCCTTGAAGAAAGGATTGAAGAAGGTAATAAAATGAGAGGAAGAAAATAGATCCAACTGCCACTTTGGCAATTATTTTCAATCTTCATTAGAAAAACAAAAAGAAAATAAACCAAAAAAAAAGCAAAATTATTATAAGGTCAAAAGTCTCCAAAGTGCCAAGTGAAGGTAACCACAACCCAGGTTAGCTTGCAGAAAGACTGATACCATATCTTGAAGAGAAAAATATTCCCATTAAGTGGAAGATTCCAGAAATCAGTGATAATATCTACTAATACTTCCTTCATCAAAGCAGGGACAGAAAGAGAGATTGTTTCATATCATTTAAATTAATGTTTTCCTATGTTTCTCAAAGTTGAGAGTAAGAAGATGGAAATTAGACATGTTAGAGTACAACCGACCTGTAAAGCAGGATGTGAAAGCTCATAAGAAACTGCACTGTAGCTAAAGGAAAAGCAACTTAGATTTCATACTCCTAAGCAAGATATTTAATTTGAATAAAGTGTTGTGCACCCTGATTCTGTTTCACACAAAAGATCATGTATTCATACTCATTGCCCTACTGCAGAAGGCCTTGCTATGTAGCTCTCATCACGCCATAAGACCTCTCTCTTATATAGAAAATTAGTTTTGCCCCCTCTGTTGATAAAAAGGAATATAATGCTTACATTATTTAATTCATGTTTTTGGAGGAATTTAATGTCTTGCTGAAGAGTTCCCTAGAACTTCATAATTGTATGAAGAGATCAATCATTCATTCTTTTCAAGCTCTGGGTAGGCTTCAGGGGGGGAAAAAAGAAAATAAAAGACAAAATCAACATTCACTGATTCAACAGCTGGGAAAAATATTGATCAGTTGGGTCATTCTCTAAGCTCATTTCATTCTCTGTGTGAAAGAAAACAGCAGTCCTCTAGGAAAAAAAGATACTCTAAAAGCAGCATCTTAATGCATTTCCACAAAGGGGCATGCTTTAAATCCTTAAGGAGCACTTTAAGTCTTCATTTTTTAAGCCATCATTTTAATACAGCTTTTGCATGGGCACATAATTATTGCTTTATACTGCAGTAACAGCTAGAAGCAAGAAATATAGTTCATCTGGGCTAGGTGCTGTGCTAAAATTAAGCCACATCTTGGCTTCCCACTGAGGGGTTGTCAGTCTAAATAGACAAAACAGGATAAAAAGAGAGAACATACTTGGGAAGCCATTTCACAGACATGGAGCAAACCCACTGAGAGGCTGAATGACCTGCCCAGGTTAACACTAGGGACTTGATTCTAGAAAAGAATATAGTGCAGATTTCTCAAGACAAAGTCTAACACAGAAAATATCCCTCCTTTCCATTGCAGCTATGCTCACTTTTCCAGTAACACCTCGAAAAATGCAGAGTTTTAGTGGCAGGCACTTCTGTTTCTCAGGAGTCAATGGCAAGTTAGAATTATAAATACCAGGCTAGGCCATAAAATTCCTGTGTCTCCTACATTTCTCAGAAAAACCAGACATCGTTAGTCCAGCTGTAATGTGTCATTTTGTCAGATTGTGTCACTTGGCACTCTGGAGCAGGCAGAGACTGCGTGACTCAGCATTGAAGCAAAGAAGAGCATCCATCTGGCAGCTCATGAGAAGAGAGGAATCTGGAGAGAAGGAGACACTTCATTTGAAAAGGACTTTAATACAAGCTTTTGCCTCTGGAAGAACACATCACATCCACAAAAGCCATCCAACTCCTTCCATCCCCACGAAAGCACCCTTCTGTGCAGCTGGAGTGCTAATTAGCTTAGTGCTTTCAGGTCCTAACTAACCACATGTGCCCCAGGAATGAGATATAATCAAGAGCTAACTAATGCTTTTGAAATGTTACAGACTAAATTAACAAGACTGAACCATTAAGCATAAGCAAGAAGAGTCAGATTTAGCTTTGGGTCATGAAGTTGCTTTCAGAGGAAAGCTTTCCTGGCCTTCAGGAAAATCCTGACCTGCTTGATCATTTTGGCCTGGGAACCTGAATGGGGAAACGTGACAGTGAGATATCTCTATTTCCAGTGGTGCCTCACAGAGTTTTTAGCGGCACCATGGTATAATATAAGTGATGAACTGGAACATGAGCGCTGTGGTCATACTGTGCACCCTTTTAATGGGGAAAGACAGGAAGCAACATTTGTTAATAGTGTGTGGGAGGAAACCCTTCCTGACAGTAATGGGCTCTCAGCTCTTCCTATTAAAAGCTGAGCAGTGTATGAAATAAACTTCAAAGCACCAAGTTCAGGGAAGGACATCCACTTCACAGAAGAGGAGAGGAAACAGGAGGAAACAGAACAAATGTGAAATTCCCCTTCCCTCTCAAGCTCTTCTCTTGTTGGTGCTCCATACAGCCATTAGTAGGGACAGGAACTTGAAACCAATCTCTCTTTCACATCCTTTTTAGGCAAGATCACTGCTCCTTGCTTGACTTTGAGAAACTATCTTTTAAAATCACAGCTAGAGAGAAAATCCTTTATGTGATCTGTCCATCATAGCAAGTCACTCAAGAAAGAACTGCAGCTTTTCACATTTCAACCACTGGTTATATATTCTGATGCCTTGTGTCTCACTCTGGTTGGTCAAAAGATTTCGAGATAGTACATTTTGGGTGGGTTTCTTGGCTATTCAGTCCATCCACAACCCTAAATATCTGGTTCTTACTGAAATGGAGGAATGCCATCACTCATAGGCTCTGACAGGGAGAGAGAGAAGTAGGTGTCTACCTATGCTGCACTTCAGCATTGCAATTATAGGAGACATAAGTTTTCATCATTTAGTTTGTAGCAGTAGCTATGACAATACATCAGTGCGGGCTGTGGTGTGGTAGCAAGACAAGGGGGTACCCAGAATCCCAGTGCTGACTTTCAGACTCTGCAGTTCTTTCATTTTTGTTGCTACCTGCACTTGCTAAATTAGATCTAAAGCAAATATAACTACATGAGCTGCAAACATACCTTGGGAATGTGGAACGAGCATACCCTCAGGCAGGGGAATGTTGGGAATGAGAACAACCTTTGGTAGCAATGTTCATTTCTAAAAATAAGTGCATCACAGCTGACAATAAGCATTTTTGTAAAGTATTGCTTTCAGAACTTAGATTGGAACAGCTGGATGCTCACTCTTTTCACTTGCAGAGTAAGTCTTTGGAGTTCCAGAAACACCTAACCCAAAACTTATCAGGTACTGGAAAACTGACTGTTAAACCTTTAATGTTTGGAAGAAATGTTTGCAAATTCATTCATTTCAAAAGATTTTTATCCCTCCAAACAGAAATAGGTAAACATTATTAGGAATGCTTTTGTGAACATCTATTCCGATTAAACCTGTGAAATCTTGCAAATCTGGCATTTTTTGCTTGCTTGTTTCCTTTTGAGGTTTTCAGTGTTTGCTGCTTTTTTTTCCTGAACCACTTGGAAATACAGAAAAAGAGAGAAAACATCAGAAGCTGTTCCAGCCATGGATAATAATGCATTTCAGGCCTGGGGTGAAAATTTAGGTCAGTTCTAATTTCACCTGAAACAGTTCACCCACCTCCATCAGCAACCCAGGGCATGATAAGCTGCAATAGCCAGTATACACAGGAAAGGGAAATGACTATTGTTACAAATAAGGATTGTATCACAGAAACCCTGGATTTATAGCTAAAAGAGTGACAGTGTTTCTCTGTATATGTGCTTGCACAGTTGCACTTCTGATTGGTAAGAGAATTACATCTATAGCCCTTGTTTACGTGGTGCTGGATTGTGGGTTTCTTAGTATTTCTCCAGCTTTGCTTGCACTCACAGACCACAGTTCAGATTCCAGTGATGATTATCCCTATCCACTTACACAAGAGCTAAAGTGTTACAGACAAAACTAAAATCTGTGTTACGAAATAGAGAAAACTATAATTCTTGTTACTGCTATGTGTTGGCTTATCTCTTTCAGTTCATTTACTTTTTTATTTTGGTGAGAAAAAGAATGTTTAAAAAGTTAAAAATGAGCAAAAAAAAAAGAGTAAAAAATTTAAAATAAAAATGAAATTCTGTGCTTATATATAAACATAACTAGAGGCACACATATATTTCTTAAATATGCAAATATCCTTGGCATACCTACATATGGTATTTTGGAGATACTATCTTTATACATTCAGAAATAGAAGGAAATTAATTTTTCTGGCTATTCTTTTTAAATCTGTGGTGTTAACTAAGATACTTTACTTACATTTTTCTAAAATCCTTTGTTTCTCTGTTCTCACACCAATTCTACATGTAGCAATACTAGGCAGAGATTTTCAACAGTGGTCTCAGAGCAAAGCCCCGGTACAGCTAATGAACTAAGGCTTTGTTTCTATGTAGAGGTTGCTGCTGGGGTAAGCCATGCAGGCTGAGCCATCACTTCTGTAGGCAGAGAAGTTCTACTCCCTAGTAGGATAGGAGGGATTTCAACAACACAGTCTGTGGAAAGCGTGTCCTCTGTTGTGGATCAGACTTTGATCTGCAATGCTGACAGCTAAGAGAGTTTGTGTAAACAAGTCTATAATTTTAAATCCTAATTTTTGTGCAGTGGTGGAAATGTGATAATCTGTGATAGCCCACCATGCTAGCACTTTGCCAGACATCAGACACATATTCTGGTACATGTGTAATGTCTGCAGAACAAAGAGGTTTCAACCTGGAATCCTACATTTTGATTTCAAGCAGTGTGCATGTGTATAACTGTATAATTAACCTTGTTATTGTTCTTTTTAGGGGGCAATTTTTCTTTGAGCAAAACAAACTAAAAAGCAACATCCTTGCACAAAATTGCATTGCTGCTTTTCAAGCGAAGAGGTTTTCCTTGACATACTGTGTATCCACCTCAGAAACAAATTTTTTTTTTGATTTTAAGAAGCACAGATTGTGCCACTATAGATTCACTATAGATGGGCGAGAAGAATCTGGTCCTTGATTTGTTCAAGTTTGGCTGCAGGTAAGATGATACACTACTTTGGATAAGAGGTGTTGATAGAAGAAAAAAAGATTTCACATTGTGCATGATCCATGTGAGTGCTGGAAGAGCACTCACAGTCCATTTGTCACAGAATAGAACAAGACAGGTAGTGTCTGGATCTGTGACTCCAGCCCTTACTGCGGCCACCACATCTACAGCATGGAAGGAATCAGAAAGATTTTCACAGCCATTAAAAGCATATACAAACCTCCACTTTCTCCTAAGCTTCCAGCAGTTACTGAAGGAATTTTGCTTATTGTCTCCATGTTCTTCATAAGAAAGCATAGTTCTTGCGATAAAATGACTTTTCTTAAAGATGTAGTGTGCTGTTCATACCTTCAGTTCTCAGCACATCAATGTCAGGGAGATAATACAGGAAATGATTAAGATTTTCCATAGGATCAGACTGATAAAGCAAGACAATGCCCATTTATTTTGATAATTATCTCTTGATTGGTGTCCAAATATTTATAAAGCATCTGAATTTTCGTAGGCAGAGGTCCCTGACAAAGCTTCCTTCCATGAGTCAAACCAATGTTGTGCTCATGTCTTCTGTCACTTTTTTGTTGTTTTGATTGACAGCTCTGAATCTTTGAGTCACTGCACAATTATTCAACTATGTCTGACAACAACAAGATGTCTACTACTCCTATGCCATCTTAGTTCTCCAGTAACAGTTGGATGCTCAAATGGTGCAGTGGGTGAAACATGTATCCAGTGAGTCCATTCTGACTACATACATATATTTTCTGAAATAAAAATTTCTGAAAAAGCATACATGGCATTACTTTATTCTGCTTTCTTTACATTGTCACGATGCAGGTTAATGCTTCAGTTCAAGGATAGGAAATTGCAATAATGATGTGTCATGATTTCTGCATTAAATAAATTGGCATCCCATTGTAGTAATTTAAAACATGCATATATCACCCAGTAGGACTCACTTATGATACCAAACGTTTGTTGTCCTTTTGTTTCAAGTTATCAATTTTGAAAGAAAGACTGCTTTTCTGTACAACTTAAAGACATCCCAGGCTTATGAATTTGTGAAGGTTGATGCATGGACGTGTGGAATGAAAGCCCAATAAAAATAGTAAGAACTTCTTTATTGTTATTCATGGACTTTGGATCAGTTACAATTTGGGTTTCACAGGATGTTCATTTGTTCAGAAACATTCTAGTGCAATCCACAGTTAGAGGCAAAAATGTCCATTATGAACCAGTGTAAAGTCACCAAATTGATTTCCTGCTGTATTTTTAATGACATCTTTTGCAATTGCAGTCAGTAACCTGAGTCACAGGGACCATTGGTGTCCTATGTATTAAGCAGAGGCACGGAAACAGCATATGCTAAAATACTCAAGCTCTAAATAAACAAGGCAGACATAAAGCCAGGAAGCTTAAAAAGCATATTCTGGGTTCTTTAACCTCAAGCAATTAATACATAATAGTGACTCAATGATTTCAGACCCTGAACATTCTTACTGTGAAAGTGGATTCTTAACTTCTATTAATGTCTTAAATGCTTTTTCAAAGTTTTACTCTAGCAGGTTTGTATAAATTCACATTAAAATTTAGCTCCAGATGGGAGCTGTAAACAGAGACCTAGAGACAATATCCTTGATAATTTCAAAAAGCTACTGGGATACTGGTAAAACAAAATATGGGTCCTGTGTCTTAGAGCACAAAGAATAAATTAATTCAGGAAAGGTGCCACTATTTTATAAACTATGTATGTATGTATTTGAGGTCTTTCAGTATTAACTTGTACCTAACACTAGCACAGAGACCTGTAAAACTTCCTCTCAAGTAACAATTGAAAGACATTTTAATTTAAAACAGCTTTTAAAAGATCATTACTGCCTTAATAATGTTATTTATTTACACTAGATTTTTTAAACATTGGATTGTATTTAAGATTTAAAAACATTAGAGTGCACTATGCAAATAAATATATATTTACCTCTACCTTGAAATAATGGGTCATTTTGTTTTAGTATAAAGCACCATGAAAGTGTTAGGAGAACAGCGTGAATAAAATTGCTATTTGCATTTCTTTGGCTATCGTGATTATTTATTTTAACAAGTTTTCACGTGAGATATAGATTAGACTACTCCCCATCCCTTTCTAGATCAGTAGAATGAAATATAGTGATATGTAGTCACTATGAAGAAGGATATCACAACCAAACTGTGAACTGTTTCCTGGTAGAGTTCTGTCTTAGGCATCTCTCTCTCTATCATGGTGACTGACTCAACAGTCCAGATTCCCTTTAGGAAAGGGGTTGGTGTGCCATTACTGGGACTGACCAAATGTAGTGACCAAAGAATTTTCCTGAAAAAATGCAGGAATTTTTGAAATCACTATTTTCTTCTCAAAAGGAAAAAGTCAGTATCAAATATACATACGCACACGTATATATACGCATACTCACATAAATATATGTATGTTAAATGTGAAAACCTGAGACTAAAATTAAATCTTTCAAATTATGTTTTGAAATGTTGAGAGTATAGCTATTTCAAAATGAAATATTTGTTCTTCATTTCAGCATTTGTGAAGAAATATTACCATGACAATTGCTGATATATAAATCTTTCTCATCTCATTTTGGGAAGAATACGTATGTCAAAATATCAACATTTCCCATGGGACAGAGATCTTGAACAGCTCTAATCAGTGTCCTTTTCAGTAGATTTTTCTCTGATGCTTATACCTGTCTTCAAATCAACTGCTGTTGGTTTTTTGTCATTCAGTAAAAAAAAAAAAAAGCATGGAATCAGGAGATAAAGAAAGGACCTCATGAGTTGATCTAATCTGTTCTCAGTATCATGTAAACCTGATATATGTGTTTTGTTATCAAAAATTACTCTTCATAACAATCTGTTTTTTTCTGAGACTAGGAATAGTCAGTGTATAATCCTAAACTTATACTTACTCTTTCATCACCAAGGAAGGATTCACCTCACCTAATCTGTCATTATCTGAAAGTTAGGCACCTAGTTAAAACTAATCAGCCATTCTCGGTCAATAACCACAACAGAGAAAGAGTTGTATATCTTCCCTCAGTATCAACAGGCACTGACAGAGAAAGATTTATCCATTTCAGAACACACAGGACTCATCTTCCCAATGCTAGTTCTCTCCTCTGATTATCATGGGAAAAGTAGATGTGATTTGGTGCTTACCTTGAGACTAATTCTCACTTAGTTCTTCACCTGGACATGCTCATTTTATGTACTAAAGAATTATGTGACTTTTGCTGTGGGGTTCAGTATTAGCATCTTTTACCTTTCTGTATGTCCTTTCACCTGAGAACATCTTAGTGCTTCTTAACCCCTAACAGAGAGTAAAATAAGACTTATTTAATAGTTAGTCAGACCAAATAATAAATAGAAATGCCATCACAAAATTTAACATTCAGCCTTTTGCTACTGATGTTATCAGACTAAGGGATAATTAAGGGAGAAGGAGACAACAAAATTAAAATATCTTGCATCACATTTTGCATAAGAAGATATTAGTAGGATGTCCATCCACAAGAAAGTGTCCTCAAATAACAGAATTAACACTTAAAAAGAGAATGTTCATGAAAGCTGAAGGCAAACAAGTGAGCAGGATCAGTCAATATTAAGCAGTGAAAATCAGTACTTTAGGACATGTATTTTCAGTATACTACAGAAGAGTCTGAACTGTAGGAAAAGCATGAATTAATCAACCTTTTTTTTTCAGATGAAGCAGAAGAAAGAAAGGAAAAAAAAAAAAAAGCGGAGACATTCCAGAGCACTGAATTATATGAGTAGACAGTTTAGTGAGATTCAGTGTTAAGGACCTGTATAAGAAGGATCAATCCTTGTTTACCACGTGGATCCAAAATTCCAGCTACACTAGCTATAGCACATGAGAAAGCATGAAGAACAGAGTACTGTAATTTTATAAAGAAGTGGTGCAGATTGACCTCTGAATCTGAGAATCATTGCAGTTGCTGTATCTCTCAAGCAAAATATGAATGTCTAGATACTGGCAGTGAAGATTCCTAAATGTTTTATTTTATCAGGGAAAGATGGACAAAGTGACTACTGGAAAGCGAAATATAAGAGGAAAAGACAGAACAGATTTCTATGTCCTAATAAGTGGTGTGCCCAGATTTCATTGAGCTGTTTTATTTTTTTTTTTCTTTTTAACATCATAAACATGAGTGGAAAATGAATAAATATGAGAAATTACATATTTTAAAACTGTTAAATTTGGGTTAATCCTCCATGCTAAAATTAATCTGCGTAGACTTCTGCAGTATAAAAACGTCTGTGTATATGATTTTTTTCAAGATTCAGGCAACATTTGGTCATTTATTTGGTCAATGAAACAGCAACAGTTAGAGATGTTGAGAGAAACAAAGATCTGTGTTTCATGGCCTAAGTCAAATACTAATGAAGTCTTAAAGGAAAAAATAAAAGAATGATATTTAAAAACAGTTGGAGATGCTTAGATTCCTATATATGTTACACATGTACCACCCTACAATATTTGAATAAGTATCTTGATGATGGTGAATTTATAAATTCATTCTCTATGTCAACCTGAAAGTTAGGAGAAAATGTTTAAGAGGAGCTCTATTTAAGAGTACATCCCTTTGAAGAATTTCACTCAAGTGCTGTTGATGGAAAGACTTGCACTTTGTTTTTTCTGGGAAGTCAAGATGCT